CTTATTATCTTTAACTTAACTAGCATTACCTACCTATGTATGTATACTTACATGAAAAAAAACTGTTTCGCAATAATTGTAATTAATTCCATATTCTATTAGGTATATTTTCTGTTTCAAACTTTAATAAATATCTAAATTTGTCATCTTAATTCTTAGTCAATTTTACCTTGAAGGCGCTTCAACACTACCGTTTTTATGAGTTTCTTCTTTTTGGCACGATTATTTTATGCCAAAAAATGGTAGAAACTTTAAAGTGGTGGTGTTGAATCGCTAGAATCAAACAATGGTGCAAACGATCCACCGGAACGAATAAGATACCGAACGAACCCTAATTGCGTTTTGCATTCGCCAATAAATCCAGAATTACAAAAGCTGACCCCCCCAGTCACTAGAGGCGCTGGAAACTTATAGACAGGTTCTCAACACGGCACTTACCTTTCTAAGGGGGGATGTTTTGTGATGTAAAAAACTATTGAGTTTGACAAGTGTCACCTGAAGAAAATACATTTTCGAAATGAAAATTTGGCTTGTTTTTCTCGTGAAATAGTCCAGCCGAATACCACTCAAGAAAAAATTATGTAGGCAAAATTATTATCTTGGTTTTATTCAAGTTTGTTGCTTTTTGGTAATTTCGCTCATGAAATTTTTGACAAAACCACTCGCCTGGCGGCACAAAACATCCCCCCTTAGAAATGTAAGTCTTATGAGAGACGTCAGTCTAGTCGTTTCAGCTTTCCCCTCCAATCACTAGAGGCGCTTCAATCAACCTATTAGAGTTTTCTTTTTCCTGCCGGCCCGTGCGCCAAGATTTGAAGTTTATTTTGTCATTTCCAGTCGTCAAAATTTAAATTTTGAACTTCTCCCAACATTTAGAATTATCAATTACCTATCAATTATCAATAATTATTATCTCAAAATGTCTTCTCCCAGTTTGTTAATTGAAAAGCATTAGAAATGCTGTGTTCCGGGGTGCGGCGACAAATACAGCAGCTATTTCCGGTTTCCAAAAGATGCCGAAAAAATGAAACAATGGCTAGAAAAAGTTCGCAATCCTTTACTAAATAGCCTCAGTGTCGAGAAGGCTTATAATAATTATAGAGCGTGAACAAGACATTTTCCTCGAGAATTTATTGTTGGCGATCCAAAAGCCAGACGAGGACTCACATGGAATGCTGCGCTTTTGCTGTATCTCCCTGAAGGTAAGTTAATACTAGATATATGTGAGAAAGACGTACTTACATTTTCACTTACTCCTCCCCATAGTTCTGATTAACGACAACGTGTTAGAATTCGGGTTTAAAGGAGCATAGGTCAGAAACATTAAAATTAATTTTAATTTTAGCCCCAATTATCAAAAACAGTGAGGAGTCGTTAATTGATAAACCACAATCACCAAAATGGCAAAAAGTGGAGATCGACACAGTTGAAACTCGTCGAAGAGTCCTAAGACGCCTTCAGAAATTAGTTTCGCAACTATGATTGACATAGGTAGGTAAACATAATAACTCTGTTCCAACACGTCAAAAAATCGTCCCATGAACGGTTTCGAAACCACTCAGGTTAACAATTTTAGTTTCTGCGCAGAATCGTGACGGTACTTTGTACGGTTTTCTGCTGTGTTGGAACAAAGCTAATATTATTCATTTCTTTTTTTTAAATGTTTATTCCTTTATCAGGAGACACAATAATTAAAATATTCCTGGTTACATACAGGTACACCATATTCTACAATGCATGTATCCAAACTTTTTTGGTAGAATCATTGGTAACGAAATTTCTGTTTCAGATCAACCAGGCCCTTCATGTCGTCAATTTTTATCTACTGAAACTTCTGCAATTCGGGCAGACATTGCTACACCAAGTGGAACCATCACATCTGCAAACATGAAAAAGTCACCAACCAACTTTGTCTCTTAAAACTTTTATTGGTAGGTACCTACCTAAGTGTTATTGCTTAATGAATAACCACCCAGTTGGGAGTAGGTGAATTTTAAAACATCCTAACTCAAGTAGGACTACTACTATAAAAGACTACTAATTATTAAAACTTGCAGTCGAATGCTAGAAAAATTAGAAGCTAAATATGCGAAAAGCTGGTCTCCAATCTTGATCTATTTTTTTTTTGCAGGTCATGAGAGACGATGCCAAATTTTAAAGAACATTAACGTCACTAGGCAAAAAATTCCTATCCCCAAGGGAAAAATATCTTTATTCCAAATTTATAGAATCCAGCAATAAGTTAAGAAGAATCAGTAGAAGGTTGTCGTCATTTAAATCCAAAGTTTCTACTGCTGAATAACTTGCATCATAAACCAAATTTCAATGGCTCGTAGAACACGTCAATCCATTGATATACAGCTTTATTTTAAGCCAAGTCCGTACTCAAAACCAAAAGCCTAAAGCTAGACGATTTACATTGGACGAGAAGTTGTTGGCGTTGTCTTTGCTTAAAGCTAGTGGTAAAGGGTATAGACTATTATCAAAAATATTTATTCTATCATCCAGGCGAAATCATTTTCTTGAATGAGCTTTATATTATGTATAACTACATAAACTTTCTACCTAACACATGCGGAAAGTGTATTTTCTGGACTTAAAGGCTTGTTTGAACTCTGCTTTTTGTTGTCATTCGTGCAACTTCCATCACGTGCAGAAACACTTTCCTCACTTGTTAGGTTAACAACGATTTTGGATTGTGAGAAAAGGACCTCTTTTGTCATTTTATTTACGATTTAAGTTTTTCATCAAGCTATTCTTAAATGTACGTCATTACTTCTTGTAACTGTCCTTATTATCTATAACTTAACTAGCATTACCTACCTATGTATGTATACTTACATGAAAAAAAACTGTTTCGCAATAATTGTAATTAATTCCATATTCTTTAATATTTTCTGTTTCAAACTTTAATAAATATCTAAATTTGTCATCTTAATTTTTAGTCAATTTTACCTTGCAGGAGCTTCAACACTACCGATTTTATGAGTTTCTTCTTTTTGGCACAATTATTTTATGCCAAAAAATGGTAGAAACTTTAAAGTGGTGGTGTTGAATCGCTAGAATCAAACAATGGTGCAAACGATCCACCGGAACAAATAAGATACCGAACGAACCCTAATTGCGTTTTGCATTCGCCAATAAATCCAGAATTACAAAAGCTTACCCCCCCCAGTCACTAGAGGCGCTGAAAACTTATAGACAGGTTCTCAACACGGCACTTACCTTTCTAAGGGGGGATGTTTTGTGAAAACGGCAAGCAATGAGTAATCGTAAAAACTGTTATTTTCCCGGTTGTGGAAATTCATCGGTTAGTGCGCCAAATAAAATATTTTTGACCGTCCCAAAGGACTACGAGAGGTGGAAGAAATGGGTAATCTCCAGCCATGGAAACACTGTTTTTCCAAAATCTGTGTTGTACTACTGCGAGGACCATTTTGATGTGAGTTTATGTGCTTGATACAGTGGTCGTCTATGTTATACTATAATATAATCATTCAATATTTATTAGCTGAAAAATGATGCCGAAAATTGGATGTATTTTAAGCATGTGGGCCAAAATTTGAAATTGAAACCAGGAGTTGTGCCACGTCACCAGTGTGTGAAAGAGTTGCCAGCACAATCGTCACAATTAACGCCACTGTCGCGCAAACGGAAGATGGAATGTTCTGCGTTATCAGAAAATCTCGCAAAAGCTAAACGGTCGCTATTCATAACAAAATCTGAAAGTTTAAACATGAGCCCCTTCAAGCAACAAGAGCGTGATGCAAAAAATAATACTGCAGTGAGTTCATCGCCAGGAAAATTTCAAATTTCGTTTTGTACTGTAGAAAAAGGGAGTCGGACGCAGAAAACAAAAAGTACTCAAACACAACACAATGTACGCCATGTCGTAGCACAAGTAAAACCTGACACAGCGACAATAAGTACAAATTCAAGGGTAGGAAGAACACAAGAAATTGATGTCAGTTTGCAGCTAAGTGGTAGTGAAAAATCAGTGAACTCAGACATACAGAGTCGACCTTCATCAAGCGCCACTTCTTCAAGCAATCAGTCTTCATCAAGTAGTGATGCTCTCTTAGTAAGTACCCAGAGTACGAAATACTGCATACATGGTGGCTGAAATGGAAAGGTACCCACGTCTATATACGGGCATTCCTCGAGATAGTTTTGGTATAATTAAATTATTGAGTATTGAAACCAGACTAACAGAAGAAGATATTCTGCTAACGTTGAGAAAAATACGTACAAACGATACATTTAGACGACTGGCCATTGAGTTTGGATATAGCGACAGCTATCCTGCAAAAATATTTGCTAAATGTTTGCCTCTACTGGCTGGTTACCTGCAGGAATTAATACCATGGCCATCAGCGCAAAAAATCAAGGAAACTTTGCCAATACAGTTTTGGGGGACCTACAGAAATGTGCAATCAATCATCGACTGCTTTGAAATTCAAATAGCGAAACCGTCAAACGCCTTAGCGCAAGCTCTAACATGGAGCGATTATAAAAACGGAAATACAGTGAAATACCTAATTTCCTCAACACCAAGTGGTCTAATAAATTTTGTATCTCATGGATTTGGGGGACGTACATCGGACAAGGAAATAATTCTCCACTCTGGCTACTTGTCTCAGCTACCACCACATTGTGAAGTTCTGGCCGATAGAGGATTCAAAGAGGTTGCCGCGGTACTGGAGGAAAAGCAATGCAAATTGGTACGCCCGCACAGCGTAACGCTATCAAAAAAATCTTCGAAAGCAGAGGTTAGAGAATCGAAACTCATCGCAGCATTACGAATACATATTGAACGTGTTATCCGTCATCTGCGCGAATTTCGTATGTTGACCCCTCATGCATGTACGCCTCTTCCATTATTAGTAGTTCATTTAGGTTACATTGTGATAATATGTTCTGCCATAAGTAATCTACAGGGTGTAATGATAAATTAATATTGACTAAACTTAGACTTTTATTAAATAAATGTTGAGTAGTAACTAAGAATTTAGTTTGGCAAACACCGCTTCTTTCCAAAATTGCAGCGCATCAGCGATCATCTGGCTGCAATAAGCCTTATCCAACGCTACTTCAATAGTAGTAATTTGTTTATCCTCCTCAAAATCAGGAGACGCAACACAAAAAAGACTTTTTTGTCTATCGCAAAGAAACATTTGCAATTGCACCTGAGCATAACACTTTTCTGTTATTGTTCCATTCTTGTAATAGTTTTCTGTTGTATCGGCTCTTGAAGGGCACTTGATTTCAATGCAATGGTGCTTCGTAATTGCGTCAGGTGAGGCACCAAATATGGGCACTTCTGGTTTGATTGTGAATCCACATCTTTTTGCACAAATCTTCTTTTCTTCATAAAGTACTTGTAGTACTTGTTTTTCTAATATTAAGCCTCGTCGCATGGCTTTACTAGGGGTGAATTTGCGCGCACCAAGTACTGCCTCTAGTGTTGTCCCATCATATGTATGACAGTGTGCAACCTCGTGTAGTTTTGAAACTGTTATCCGGCCAAATCGAGCAGCAAACCATTCTGGGCATTCAGACTGCGTTTTAGTTATTTGACAAATTTTTTTGCATATTTCGGGCGTTAAAACTGTTTTCGCAAATTGGAGAAAATGATCTGAATTGATTATAGGAGCCGTAGCTTGAAAGGACCCTGTCCAAAGTATACGGAAATTGTGTTTATAGGTTCGTTCCAACCCAGCCAAAAACCGTACAATGTACGGTCACGGTCATGCGCCATAGGTTAAACGCGTTCCAACCGAGAGATGATCGTTTACCGTACAGTTTCGTTGGCGTTCCAACCAAACCTGGGATCGTTCGAGAACTGGTTTTAGCACCGTCATTTCGATCCAGAGTGGAAAGCAAGAACCGCGTGGACTGATTCATGACTGACATGCGTAATTCAATTTTTGTCATCTGTTTTTGTTGTTCATGTTGTTGTTAAACAATCAATTTCCAATCTAACTTATAAAAATGTAGCATTTTTATTTTTTCAAGTGAAAAAAAGTACAAAATTTATTATCAGCTATTTGCTAATCCTTGATGTTATCAGCTTGCAAGGATTCAGTTTTAGATTCTTGATAATGAATCAGCGTTGGTGTTCGATTTTCCTTTTTTATATATTATTTTGTAATCCTAATCCTATATTCTTCTATTTTAATTTGCAAACAAACAAATTTAGGGTTAAAGTTATTTGAACTGTCGTTATTACGAAAACGATCATGAAACCGTTCCAACTACCCGTTGTTTCTGTACCAAGATAAAACCGTGCAAGGTCAACGCATGCGCCTGCAATCGATCCTAACAGTTCCGAAACCGTTTCATGACGATACGAAAACGGGGAGTTGGAACGAACCTTATGTCAGAATTGGCTGAATTTTGTATATAATGTAGATCTAGCCTTTCTGATTAAAAGTTACCATTGCACCAATCCTGAAAAATGACTCCACGTAGCACATCCCTGCGCCAAAAGCTTACCTTTTCTACACCTATTCGTGCTACATTGAACCTCCATTACAATGTCCAAGCGTTTTACTTGCTATCTATGGAATTAATTTTCTCATTTTTCAGGATTGGTGCAATGGTAACTTTTATTCAGAAAGGCGTGCTCTACATTATATACAAAATTCAGCCAATTCTGACATAAACACAATTTCCGTATACTTTGGGCAGGGTCCTTTCAGTACCATGTGGTGAAGGGAAATTTGCTCAACAACAGTGGGGATGGTCCGAAAGCAGTTGCCAATGGACGCAGTTGAGTTTTGCTCTAATAGTAGCTGAACAGTTTTATCCAGAAATGCTGTTGTTTTTGACCGTAATGGCGGACGTTTATATTTAAAAATATTGACAGTTGTTGTTGGCTTCAAATCCCCCAGTTTTGCTAACGATGACTTCTTCCAGTAACAGACGGTTGAGGTTACTGACGGATGTAAATGCCTCCTAAAAAATCAGCGCTATTCCATGCTTGCAGCCCCCTAACAATCATGGTTTACTTGATTTTCAAGAATGGTTTGCTTATTAGTTACCTACCTTCGCTCGCTTCGTAGTCATTACATTTCACATCAATTACTTTATGGCATTCTTCATCAATGCACACACTAACCAAATAGCTTTGTTTTCGAATTTTATGTTCTGGCGTGATTCGAGCTTTTACAATGCACTGGGGATGATCCCTTTTCAACTGGACATACCCTACAGCAACGTCTCCATAAGATTCTCGAGTAGCTCTTTTAACACAGAATAACCAAAACCATTAGGTAGATATACAAAAGTAATCCATAAGATACTATACCTCTGAGCTTTCACGTTCCGCACCCCAGCAATAAAATACTCAGCAATTTCTTCGTAATATATATCTATCATTTCGCATGTTACTTCGGGCAGATTATATGAATCGGCCTGTACAAATCCTGGGTCCGTTGTCGTTCGCATTTTTTTATGCGTTTGGGTAGTCTCAAATTAAGGCCTTCAAAGTGATCAAAATTCAGAAGTGAAAAATCCAGCAAAAAAGTCACAACAATACAAACAACGCAAACAAACCACTACATCAAACAACGTGAACAATAAGTTACTGTGGCAATGTCATACGATTCACAGGACACCACACGTCGTTGAACTGTTGAAGTCAGCTGTCGTTTTGACGCATTTTGAGCAGCGTTGCCAGATGATCAGCAGCTCGAATATTATTGGTCGGCGCTGTGGCGCTAAATTTAAATTAAATTTAATATCCCACTATACCATCACCATTTAGCCTATAGAATAATGTCGAGCAGTTTTTTTACTGATTTTCATACATAGTATACTTTCCCATTAAGACTTCTCAAAGCTGTAGACTGGTCCCTACTACCAAATTCAATTTCAAGAAAACCAATTATCTTCTTATGTATGAGCTGTTTCAGGAACAAGACTGGGATGATTTATGCGATTTCACAAATGCTAATCTGGCAATTGATGCTTTTTATAAAATAATACACAACATATTTGAGAAATGCGTACCAAAGTCTACACAAAAAAGTAAGAAGTATCCAACTTGGTTCAACAATGAAATAATAAAAGTTTTAAAGCAAAAACACACATGCTTTTTGAAGTCTCGTCAATACAAGTCTCAGTTTTGGAAAACCAGATATAACGGTTTGAGAACCTTAATCAGGAATAAAATCAAAACAGCCCATGCTGAATACTTGGTGGATGTTGAATCAAGCTTGAAATCTAACCCAAAACTTTTCTGGTCATGTCTTAAAAGCTTTAAGGAAAGTCCAGAGATTTCGGATGAAATGGCGTTTGAGAATGAAATATTCTCGGGAACATTCAACATTGTTAACGGCTTTGCAAAATATTTCAAATCTGTGTTTATCAGTAATGATAATATTGCCGATCACACCAATGCAAATAATGCTAAAACATACTTTTGTGATGCAGAAATATCTGTTTTAGACATAAAAAAGGCTTTCAAAAAACTTAAACCAAACAAGTCTATTGGCCATGATGGTATTCCTGCATTTATACTGAAAGGGTGCAGTGAATTTTTACTTGTTCCTTTAAAAATCTTGTTTAATCTTATGCTTAAAACCGCCACATTCCCAGAAAAATGGAAACTTAGTAAAGTGATACCTATACACAAAAGTGGTCCTTAACAAGATATTAAAAACTATAGACCCATAACAATAGTGTGTGCAATCTCAAAAATATTTGAAATTGTTATATTTGAATTGCTTTTCAATGAAGTATCACTTAAAATATCTCCCAATCAACATGGTTTCCTACCAAAAAGGTCCACATTTACAAATCTAACAATCTTTACGCAATATATACATGAAGCATTGAATAGGAAAACACAGGTAGATGTTATCTACACTGACTTAGAAAAAGCATTTGATAAAGTAAGTCACAATACTATTTTGGATGGTCTGGAGGCAATGGATGTTCCTCCATACCTGAATAATTTAATTCAATCTTACTTAGGGACAGACTCAAGTTAAAGGTATCAGTTTGTAGAATTAAAAGGTAGTCGGTCTACTCTTTTTGTTAGTTCTTCTGGTGTGCCCCAAGGGTCAAATCTTGGGCCCCTTCTTTTTGTTATTGCTTTCAATAAAATTCTTTGCAAAGTCAAAAATGTGGAATCATTGGCATTTGCCGACGATTTTAAATTATTTATTGAAATCACCTCGATTGAAGATTGCGAAATTCTTCAAAGAGAATTACAAGATTCAGCGAGTTATTGTCAGAAAAATAGCTTTAACTTAAATTTGAACAAATGCTCCTGTCTCAGTTTCAGTCGTAATAAAAACCCAATTGAATTTGACTATACAATAAATAATGAAAAACTAAAACGTGTTTCTGAACAAAAGGATTTGGGTGTAACTTTTGAAGATAATCTTTCATTTTCTTCTCATATTATTTCGAAGATTGAGAGTGCCCAGAGAGTTGCCGGGTTTATCTGTAGAAATACTAAACAGTTCAATATTGATGTCAGCATCCACCTATTTGATAGTCTGGTATTACCGATACTGGAGTATGGTAGTATAATTTGGTCCCCTCAGTATCACATTTGGATAAGTATTATCGAGGGAGTTCAAAGAAAATTTTTGAAGGCTATGCACTTTAGAAAGTACGGATTTTATCCACAAAGAGGTTGTGACAATGACTTCTTGCTAGGTTTATTTAATAGACTGTCTCTAAATCAAAGAAGAACTAAAATATTTCTCGCAACAATGTACAGAATACTAAAAGGTTATGTTGATTCTCCAGAAATAGTCGGTCAACTTCCTTTTGCCATAAATCGTGTCAACTCAAGAACAAAAAATGTTTTTTATTTAGCTTACCCACGGACGAATTTATATAAAAGCTCTCCAATATATAATTTGTGCAATATGTTCAATAAATATGCTTCAGATACTGATATTGATAGCACTACCTACAGACAGTTCAAACGAATAATTGACTTAAAATTACGCAATAGTTAGCATGTAAGTTTCGTGTGTACTGTTCGTGTTTAATGTTGGTTTTACTTGCATTTATGTCGTTTACATTTTCACGTTAGATGTTGTAATAGTTATTAATTTGATGACATTTTACAAAACTTTTTATTGACATTTTACATACTTTTAGAATAAGCATAGGTATCTGTAATTGGCTTTTTGGCTGTAGATAGTGTTTGAAATAAATAAATAAATAAATAAATAAGATAATCAAAAATATTTTCTTTGGAATTTTTACTTGTAAACATTAATTCCTGAATAAGATTTTGTCTTGAATAAGGATCTCCGTATTTAATTTTTAAAGCATCTCTTATATCAGGCCAAGTTTTCAAGTCTGGTCTGGACATAAGAAAGTTGCCAGCATCATCAATCATTCTCACCTGTATAGTATGTGTGGAAAAATTAATCGATATTATTTATGAAGTATTCAAAATATGAGCTTTCTCCTGAGTAACTGAACGATGGATTTTAAATTCTCTCCCATGGTTCTGTTTCGAATAATAATTTGTAGTAAAGTTTGTGCTTGAGCGAGATTAGGGGTTGTTGTTGGAGGATTTATGTTTAAAAATTGAAACAACAAAAATTAAAAAAAAAAATCATAAAATTATTTAAATAAAATGAAAAAAAAAAAAATCTTTTCAGTTTATTTTCCCTAATTTGTTTGATTAATTTATTTTTTCAGCTAAGTTGTGTTAAAATCACAGTATTATGTACAGGGTGTTTTTTATATATTGACACCTCACCTACAGCCTTTACCTTTACAGGTAGAAGAAATGTGTAAAAACAAAAGTTGTACAGTTTTCAGAATCCATGGTCAGAAACAACAAATTGAATGTCAGAAATGTTAAATGTTGCATGCTTTCAGCTTTTTTCGAATGGGATGCCCTATATTTGGTTCTATATTCTTGAAGAGCACAATTTCCCGATTCCAAAAATATACAGTTTGTCTATATTTGGTTCCAAAAATTTTAAAAATACTATCATAGAAACCATGTGGTACCTCAAATTTTACCTGCAGCTTTCACCTGTATAGGTAGAATGGTTCACGAAATCAGTAGTAGGATAGTATTTTCACAATTTTTGAAGCCGAATATATAAGATACTGCTCAACTAAATATCGACAAATTATATATTTTTGGAATCGGGTCATTGTGGTCTTCAAGAATATAGGACCAAATATAGGGCATCCCATTTGAAAAAAGCTCAAATTATGCCAAATTTCACATTTCTGACATTCAGTTTTTGTTTTAGACCATGGATTCTAAAAATTTAGCCAAAACCGTACAACTTTTGTATTTACACCTGTAAAGGTAAAGGCTATAGGTGGGGTGTCAATTCATAAAAAAAAACCCTGTACCTCGGCGAATCAACAGCAAAAATAGCAAAAGGACTTAATTATAAAACACCAAAATAATATGTTAGGAAGGTTTACTTACAGACAGATAATTGCTTTGTAACAATAAGGGAGTGTTTGTTTGTTTGTGTTCTTCGGGACAGCGCTTCCTGCTTTGGAGCTTTGGGGCCTTCGTTTGAAAGCGTTTTATATGGGTGTATTTACTATAATCTGAAATACTACAGTTTAGTTCAAGTTAGTGCCACACAAACAAAGAAAGCTTTAGCACATTGGTTTTAATTCTCTTATCCTCAGTTAACCATATAAATACGGAAGTGGATGAGCTGGATGTTCTAAGAGTTCTTTTCCAAAATGTAATCTACGAACGAACACTTTTTCGAAAAATTCGCGAACTACTTGAAACAGATTCTCGAACAGATTACTGCGATGAAATCTCGAAAGTAAATGCATGCTTCACTGTAGCTGCGTGCCTATTTTATAATAAAATAAATGCTAGCATAAGCAAGACAAAAGGGTCTTTATTGGTTTACAATATAATTTATATACTTACAAAATGCAATCTTTCATTTTTTATTTTGTGTTTGGATTGTTCACTTTCACGTTGAACGTCAAAAATCGGAAATGTTGGAAAATAAAAAAATGGTGATAAAAATAACAGTTATTGAAACTGGAGAACATCCTTAAACACATTTTTTGAATAATTTATAGTGAAATTTAAACCAATTTTGTTTTTCAGGGAATAAAGAAAAAATAGAAGGGACTGACTTGTATGTATCGCAGAGAAGAGACATTAGGAATGTACAGACTGAAAAATTGAGTTTATAAGTTTCGTTCATTTAGTTTTGAATGTTATTGCTATTAAAATAGGTAATTTTTGCGTTCAATTTTTTTTAAATTCTTATTATTATCATTATTATTATTATTAGCCAATTCATATTCGTTATTTCGTTTTTGTGATATCATATGTATGTATAGGTATAAAATATTTTTTCATTTTCGGGCAAAGTGGTGCTTTAGAGACGGCACTGTGTGTAAAATAAAACTGCGTGCATGTGTTCTGAGCTAAATACTCGATCCTTCCGAACACATTCCGAGTTATGTGCTCAATATAACAAACTATTTTTATATTATGCTAGCCATCACTACTATTTCAAATAATTGACGTGTCACCAAATAAATGTGATTTCTTTGTTTGTTGTAGGAAATTTTCTCCATGTTAGGATCGATTTCCTAAAGTATAAATCAAAAATGTAGTTTGTAAATAAGATTTCTCAACACTCAATTAGCTTTAAAAATCACTCAAAATAATGTGGGCCCTTTAGTTTCTTACAGATGATTATGAATGTTTAGTTTTTTGATATTTTTTTTTAAGTATGGATATTGTTTTTATACCAGAACAAAAGTTCATCAAGGGGAAAACTCTGTTATTGAGGCATTGTTCAAATTGTAGAAAAAATTTTTTTGGTAATTTTGTTGATAAAACTTTGAATTTGGGTTACCTAAGTTTGCTTTTCACCAAAAAATAGTATGATGATCTCCATTAGTGCAACTAAAACTAAAATTTGGATTTTTTTTGGTATATAAATTCTCTCTTCCATCTATAAGAAATTAAAAATGAATCTCATATCTGTTAAGATATTTAGATAGAAGTATGTTTTTGTTTTCAAAGGCACAAAACAAACACCAAATTTTAATGCATTTAATAACTTTTTAGTATTTAGGCATGTATTTAAATTTTAAAAATCTTCCCTACCATTAATTTTGTGCTCAATTTTCGAGATAATATACATCAATTTGAGGCCAAACTGTTGCCATATTAAACAATTCTTGTATTTATTATGTGTTAAAATATAGATAAATATAAATTAATTCCCGATGTTTATACAAGAAATGTTTGTGTTTGATTTTTTTTTCAGGTGAAAAACTTCCATCAATTCACTTTTGTATTGAAATAAATTAGTGATCTTCTTGTTACCTGGATCAAGAGTTTGGTACTTGTGATTTTGCACGGAATGGATTGAGTTCTAACATAATACATATCTCTATATTAGGGATATCGATCATTTTTCAGGCATCAAAAGCATGGGTATAATTATTAAATTATTCACAGTTAATTGTTTCGAAATAGGTACCTACTTTATTGAAGTTTATACATTGAAATAATAAGAGAATTTCTGTAATAATTTGCTTAGCTTAATTGGGAGTCAAAGATCAAAGATAATTCCAATTCACCAACCGCTTGCAACACCGACTCGATGATCTTATATTGAAATTTAAATGTAAAGTGAACAACATAAGATTTACTGATATTGCAATGTAGATTATTTGCATCCCATCATTGGTGAAGCTTATTCAAATTTTCCTTTAGTATTTGGCTCAACTCGATCATGCTCAAATATAACTTTAAGTCATCAGCAAACATTAAGATTTTGTAATTCGTCATTTCCTTCACTAAACTATTAATGAACAGCAAAAACAATATCGGTTCAAGATTTGATCCCTGCAGGATACCTGAAGTCGCCAAAAAAGAATTGGAGTAGTGTCGTTCAATAACCATCCTTTGCTTCCTATTGTCACAATAAGCTAAACGTCCGCCAGGCTGTCAAGAATCGATCGCGGAAATACTAGAATCTAGCGAATTATTCTACTTTAATCTGGAAAATTAGATTATCTTGTGTATTCTAGATTTCACAGGAATAGATTTAGGGATATATAAGAAGGCCGGCATTGGTTTGTAAGTAAGTTTCAGTTCGACTGTGATACGATTTAAATAGTGATTGTAAAGAGTTTAATTGTTGAGTTTGTTATTAAAGTAATTAGTGTCAGAGTGTTTTGTTAAGTGGAATAAATTATTGCTGTGTTAATTGGACTTTGATTTTTGGAATAAACGAAACGAACAACGAACCCAAGATTTTTGTCAGCAGGCAACCCAAAGCCGCGACAAGTGGTGTCAGAAGTGGGATATAAAGGACTGCAGAGTGAAATCCAATTACGGAAGTGCGGGGACACTAGTGTAGTATAAAAACTGAACACTAAGTGAACACTGGGACAGTTAGTGCAGTGCAAACAGTGACAATCACAAGAAGAGACTCAACCGATCGTGTGAATTACCCCGGAAGTGACTTAGACTGTGATAGTGAATCTTCGAGTGAGTTCTAGAAAATTCTATTTGGAAACTAAGGGAGATATCGAATTTGTGATTCCGCCGACGTATTCGGAACATCAATCGTCATTCAGAAGAGGTTTTTCGAGGAGTTTCGGGAAAATTCTAGAACATTCTATTTGGAAACCAAGGGAGATATCAAAATTGTGACTTCACCAAAAATTCCAGAACATTCTATTCTAGAATAAAGCAAGTTATCCAATTTGTGACTTCACCGGCGTGTTTGGAACTTCGAGCAAAGGCCAGAAAAGATATTTGAAGAAAGTTCGAGGGAAATTCTAGAACATTCTGTATATGCCTATCACAAGACAACAAGCCAAAATGGACGAACAAAAAGTTGAAGAACTCCTGCGCAAAATCTTGGAACTTCAAGAGACCAAACGACAACAAGAAAAACAAGACGAAGAAGCCAGACGACAACAAGAAAAACAAGACGAAGAAGCCAGGCGACAAAAAGAACGGTAAGAAGACCTTGATCAACTACAGAAAATATTTCAAAACATACACTGATTTGTCGCTAACCTAGAACAAAAGATTACGGAAATAAAAGCCGAAGTTAAAGACGATGTTCGAGAAGTTAAAGACGATGTTCGAGAAGTTAAAAACGACGTTCAGGAAGTAAAAGCTGTAGTCAAAGCCGATGTTCAAGAAGTTAAAGACGATGTTCAGCAATTAAGACAAGAAGTGGAGGACCAAGTTCAAGCACTCCAAGATAAGGTGCGTAAATTAGAAATACAGTCCATCAATCCAGTTAGTGTTGGAGCATTCTCCAGTATGAAGATAAAACCACCAACTTTTGACAGTTCTACGTCCTGGACCATGTATATTCGACAATTTGAAGCTGCTGCAAATACCAACGGATGGAACGATCAAGAAAAAGCTACAGCACTGATAGTGGCGCTACGAGGACCAGCCTTAGACCTTCTTCAGTCCATTCCTTCAGTCTACCAACAGAATTACCAGCATCTAAGTCAGACGTTGGAATTGCGCTTCGGAGATCATTACAGGCAAGAAGTATATAGAACTCAAGTCAAATCAAGAATTCAAAAACCCGGCGAGAGTTTACAAGAATTCGAATCAGAAGTTAAAAGGCTAGTGAGTTTGGCGTTTCCTGCAGCTGGGGAAGACATGCAGGAATGGATGGCAGTATCTGCGTTTATTGATGGTCTCAGAGATTCGAAGATCCAGGAAAACCTAAGAATGTCCTAGTTCAGACAGAGTAGCGAAGCCCTTGTCCGAGCATTAGAACTGGAAGCAATCTTTGGTGCCTCACGACCCAGAATACGAGCAGTGTCCATTGAAGACCCAAAAGATAAACAGTTGTCAAAAAAGGATGGTAGCTTCGAAACTAAAATCAGTAATTTCATGGAGAGAATGGAGAAACTGTTACTAGAAGATAGAAAAATGGGAAACGATTCCAGACAAACACCAACACCGAGAAACCGAGTAAAATGCTACCGGTGCCAAAAGCTTGGACACATGCAATGGGATTGTAGACTAAGGATGTCCTTTCCATCTAGGGATCATTCTCAACGCTTTTCAAGGTTTAGAGACGCCAGCCCTAATAATAAACAGGAACCAACTAGTACGGAAAGGAGGATGCTGGCTAGTAATGACGAAACCCCCAGAGTTGTGTACATAAAATCATTGGGCGGTCATTATAGAGGATTAAAATTCGAAGGACAAATCAATGGAGAATTGAAAACCATCACTTTTGATACGGGTGCTGAAGTTTCCATAATTAGAAGAACATTAATCAAGTCTCGGGCAATCCAACCGCTCACTAGAAACCTGTCACTACGAACATTCACCGGAGAATCTGCACCAGTTCAAGGAGAAGCTATGGTTGAGCTCACTTTTGGATCTACCACCTTCAGGCACAGAACATTAGTCGCCGATATAGAAGACGATTTTATTTTGGGAATGGATTTGATCGGCCAACATGGTTTCTCCTTTGATCCTTCCATGAACATCCTTAAATTTGGTAATGAAGAAATTGTCCTAACAACACAAGAAGAATCCGAAGCCGTTAAGATCTTGGCCACAACCCCAGTGAGGATTCCTGGAAGTACTGAGAAGATCATTTGCGGAAGATTAGAAACCAACCCTGGGTGCTGCGTTGGACTAACACGTAATTTCATTGGAGATAAACCAGAAAGGTTTCTTGTTGGAAAGACTCTAGTAAGAACAAATGGAGACATTATGATAAGAATTGCCAATGTTACTTCCGAAACAGTAAGAATAAAAGAAGGAGACATTATTGGAGCTCTCGAACCAGTGAAGCAAATATCGAACTGTGACCTACCAGATAAGCGACACTTTGTGAAATCCAAATTGGATACAGACACCTTGATGCAGACTTTGGCGAAATCATGGAAACATCTTGATCCAGATAGACTTCAAGAAGCCACAGATTTCATTTTGAAAGAAGCAGACGTATTTGTGATGGACAATCAAACCGGACGAACCAGTTTAATTCAATACAAAATTGATACTGGATTGGCACACCCAATTAGACAACCACCACGACGTATGCCAGTAGCTAAGCAACAGGAAGTGGAAAACCAAATTGATAAAATGCTTCAAGAGGGAGTCATTGAAGAGTCAAATAGTCCATGGTCCGCGCCAGTAGTACTGGTTACGAAGAAAGATGGGAGTCTTAGATTTTGTGTGGACTACCGAAAGCTCAATGACGTCACCAAGAAGGACAGCTTCCCTCTCCCAAGAATAGACGATACACTAACAACTCTATCGGGCTCCAAATGGTTTTCCACCTTGGATCTCAAAAGTGGATACGGGCAAGTCGCAATACATGACGATGACAAAGAGAAAACTGCCTTCAGTACCGGAAGCGGACTATACCAGTTTAATGTAATGCCTTTCGGATTGTGTAATGCTCCAGCTACCTTTGAGCGACTGATGCATCTTGTTTTGCGAGGCCTTACATGGAGAACTTGCCTGGTATATTTGGATGATGTCATGATTATGGGAAATTCGTTCCAAGAACATCTCAATAACCTAAAAGAAGTTTTTGACCGCTTCCGGAATGCCAACTTGAAACTCAATCCAAATAAGTGTTTCCTATTTCAAAAGAAAGTGGAATTCTTAGGTCACGTGGTATCTGAAGAGGGCATACAAGTTATGGAAGGAAAAATAGATGCTGTCAGGGACTGGCCAAAATCACGCGACAAACATGAACTAAGGAGTTTTCTAGGATTATGTTCTTATTATCGAAGATTTGTGGAAGGATTCGCCAATATAGCTGCTCCACTTCATCGATTGAGAGAAGAAAAATCAACATTCAATTGGACCCAAGAATGCGATTCCGCATTTAGAAAATTGAAAGGAGCATTATGTACGAGCCCAGTGTTGTCCTATCCTGATCACAAAGGCATGTTGATTTTGGACACAGATGCAAGTAACACCAGTGTTGGAGCTGTCCTTTCACAAATCCAAAATTCACAAGAACATGTCGTGGAGTACTACAGCAGAACATTATCAAAGCCGGAACGAAATTATTGTGTCACCAGAAGAGAGTTGCTTGCCATAGTAAAAGCAGTCGACCATTTTCATAAGTATCTCTATGGACGCAAGTTTCTAATTCGAACAGATCACGCAGCTCTAAAATGGCTTTTAGAAATGAAAACTCCTGAAGGACAGCTTGCTAGATGAATTGAGAAATTGCAGCAATACGATTTCCATATTAAACATC